CTATTATCCTGGACTTTGACATCCCTCAAAACTCARCTAAGAGAAAAACCTAAACACAATTATTTCTTCCTAATACCCACATTTAAAACACACCAAATAGTTGTAAAAGAACAACCCATCCCAAATCACAAGTCTCATTCTTTCTCCTCTATTTTTTTTTTTTTTTAATTTTAGGTAAATTATACCCTGAGTAGTTACAAAAGAACAACCCACCCCAAACCATGTCTCATTCATTCTCCTCTTTTTTTTTTTTTTTTTTTTTTTTTTTTTATTTTTTTTTTTTCTTTTTTTTTTTTTTTTTTTTTTTTAATTTTAGGTAACTTACATGCAGCTTTCCATGTGCCTCTTGGAGTCTCCATCCTGTTGCTGCACACCTTTGGAGTGGCACCTCTGAGACATTTCCCTCTCAGTGCACAGCCCTGGTTCATGGAGCCAGGCAGATTTTGTGAGATCCCTAAAGGCTCGTCCCAGAGCTCTAAAATTTCCCGTTACAAGACCATGTGGGTGGTTTTGTTAACTAAGAAGGGCCTCGTTTCCTTTCCTCTGAGACACAACCATTGTTTTATTGGGTCAAGAAGAACCTCCTGTCCTGATGGATTAATTAAATGTTCTCTGTCCCAGTGAATGGTCACACTTCCTATCCCCTCCCCTTTGGAGAGTGCTCAAAAAAATTGCTCTGAAAACAATGGTCAACGAAAATAGGATGTGATACAGTAATAGGTGACAATATCGAGGTTGTCACACTGTATTTATGGGATATGGCTGTTTRAACAGACAATATGATTGCTGCTTTTCAATTACACTTTCATTATGGCAAATGATTTGCTGTTTCATTTACTGCTAATGTGCTTGTTAACCTAAATTATTTTACTCCTTCACTAAAAATGTATTTAAAAGAAAATCTTTCTAAAAGTCTGCTTTAAAAATATGTGAGAAGAAAATTTATTTTAAAAAGTTATTTTAAAATGTTGAAATGTTATTCAAATTTTAAAATACTTATAGCAGTAGACACTAATTGTAATGGATGTATGAACTTCTTAGTATGAAGAAGGGATTTTTCCTGCTTATCATAGACCCTTAAAAATAATTTGTTTCATTCAATTTTGATATTCCTTAAAGAAGAACATTGTTGTCCAATCAAGCATGCTTAATTAGGACTTTTCAATGACAAGAAATGCTGTTCAATCCTTTAAGAATTATTAATTTTGCAATAAAATGTGTGAGTGCAGTGATACAGTTTTCCAAATATTCTTAAACCTGAGTGGATAATATTTTTATTTGGATCATGTACAACTGCGACTGTCCAGTGTTACTTTCCAACTCAGGGATTACTCTCTGCTTTTCCCCTCGCTCTGTCCCCGTGCCCTTGCATATTTAATCAWAATTGGAAGTCAAGTGACTTTTACAAGACAGGAATGTTAATTACCTTTCAAATTGYTGGAGAGGGTACTTTGTCTGGAGTTCCTCTGATTGTGGTAATTAATTAGTGGTGCGAGGTCAGCCTCCTGTCTTGCACAGTTCATTGAGCAGCGTCTTTTCAAATATTTATAAAGATGTTTTAGTACCTATCACTGAGAGCTACATTAATGTTTTAATTTGGGCAGAAAAAAAGCACAACTTAATCCTGTCAGACACAACTGTGGTAGTATATATATMTAGTAGCAATCTCAAATCAGGCATTGTTTTTCATTTTATTCATGTTCATTAAGAATAGGGGAGAAATATTTCTGATTCTGCAATGTTGGAAACAAACTGGTGGAAATGAGCTAAAGCTACAACTGTAGAAAAATTGACATTAAAATACTGTTCAGGGCAGGGAACTACTAGAATTTCAGGAATTTCAAGATGATTAAAATACCTGAATATATGCAGAAAATCATCACAGACCTTCCACAAAGGCCTAACACTTCTGTAATCACTTCCTGTTTACAAAATACTTTATTTCCTATTATCATATTTCACCAAGTGTGCAGAATTTCTGTCTCTGGGGGTACCTGGCCACACTCCCTGAAGGCGTGAAGGGAAGGCAGAGTGTGCTGATGCTGAGCTGGAAGGCAGAAAGCTGCATCTGACTCTCTCTGCTACAGCTTTTCCCATCAGATCTCACTGCTCTCACACTCAGCAACCAYGTGAGCTTCATTCCCTCTTTTCTGTTAGACCAGGACTCCACACCTGAGGTACCCTGTGGGGATGCCAAAAACTCAGAGCCATCAATGGCACTAAATCTTTGTCCTAAACCTGGCTGCTGCTGCTCTTTGGACAGAGCCATGGTGGCCCTGCCCCGGTTCAGGTGTTGGGTCTGTCACAGACAGGACACCAGGAATGAACATCACCAGGTGAAAACCCATCTCGGGGCAATCCTTGAGCTGTCATGGTGCCTGGGCACTCACCTGTTGTGAAGATCATCTCTTCAGCGTTTTCTTGAATCCTCACAGTCTTACCTTATTCTGTTTATTGCTAATGAATCACCAAACACCAACTGATGACAAGAGTTCTGCAGAGCATCACCAACACGAGTGAGAAACTGTTGCCCTACACAGCTTGTTTCTTGAAATCTTCTGAGGTGCCAACTCTTGTAACATTCAAAGTTGTTTATTTAAGAAATATTTTAAGAAAATGTCAGTGACCAGCTTCTGTAATCTTTTTTTCTTTCCTCTCCAGGATGAACAGATACTTTAAAAGAGCTTTAGCAATAATCCTAAATTAACATTTCCTTTGAGTTTCCAYAGAAGCTTCAGACCTGCCTTTCTACTCACCTGTGAAAATATTTTTTTTTACTCAAAGTACACAGCAGTTCTGATACAAKACACACTATGTATATGTTGGCATCTTGGCATTTTAAAGTTACTTTTTTTTTTTAAAAGATGGATCATTATTAGGTTTGGTAGGAATAGTAAAGGTCAGCAGCATCATGATCTTCTTTCCAGGGAAAACTCACTGAACGTCCTTTGAGCTCCCTCTCCACGAGTACGACTTTGAACGTCACTGTCAGAGCCCACAAGAGGCACAACACAAATCATGGGATGTACACGGGGAAGCAAAAAGATTCCTCATGAATTTCCTCCTTTTTGTCACCCTAAAATATGGGCACTAAATGAGAAACCCTTACTTCCACAAGATCAGTATTTCACATGTGGACATGGTAAGCACGATAAATCAGTGACTTGGGATGATAAATTATCCTTCCTTCCTTCCATCAGCCATCCTTCTGTCCATCTAAGACTTGAAAACTCCAAATGCTTCAACATTTTTGCAGAGATGCCCAGGGCTACACAGACAAGATTCATTGTTGGGCTGCTTGTTCCACATGAAAAATGTCTTTGCTTTAGGGCCAACTACCTTGAGGACCTTTCATCATCACTGACATTGCTTTCCTAAAACATCTTCTCACCCTCCAAAAAGGGGATGCTTGATAAGATATTTGGTTCTATTCTGATATATTTGGCACTTTCACAAATTTGCTGAAATGTTCACACAAAATTCAATTAATGTGTGTAACTGCACTGATTCTGATTTAAAAAAAAAAAAAAAAAAAAAAAAAAAAAAAAAAAAAAAAATATTAAAAAAAAAAAAAAAAAAAAAAAAAAAAAAAAGCTGCTTTATTAGGACTTTCTCAGCAATCTCACTGTTAGGTAATTGAGGAAGAAATTTTAAAGGCATTTCACTACAGAGTTTTCCTTCTGCAAACATCAAACACCACAACTGTCTTAGAAATAAGAAAGAAACAATTAGGAAAACAGCAAAATATCCTCAAACATGCTTCTTAATGTGCCTATCAGCAGGACTGCATTCGTGTTGGCAATCTGAGATGTGAGSAGTGACTAATTAGAGCACCATCCATCTCAATTTGTCATTTAGAACTTCTGTTGTCATCATTTAGAGTTTACTCAAAGTCTTGCAMAGACCAAGAGGCTGATCACAAGGCAGAGACTCTGCTGTACTATTATGTAAATAAATTAGTATAATCTCTGTAGGAAAATAAAAAAAATCCATTAAACAGAATTACAAAATTTTGACCAAATCCTTTTTTCGTTTCAAGTTTTTCATAGAGACTCTCTATCAGCAAAGAATTTTAGCATCTGGTTTGTGATGAAGCACATCATGCTCCCTGTMAAAMTTACATTTATTTTTGTCATCTGTTGAATGACAATGTGGGTATTCCTTAGCCTAAGAGCACAGTTTCAGGGTTAGAGTTACCAGAAGCTCCTTTTCCCTGAATAATTTAAATAATTTAAATAATTTCACTGAATATTTGTGGAACCCACAAACTGCATCATATTGCTAAGAAAAATCATTAGTACTGAGGAAGAAAAATTTTGCCCTGATTAATCCTGTGGAAAAGGACAGAACTGGCATTTCACATCAATGTTCATTGAATGCTTTCAAAGGAAAGCAAGAAAAAAAAGGCAGAAAAAGCCTTGCAACTACACTCTTCTAAAGAGATGCTTTAATCAGTGATGCAGCCAATTTTTTTTACTTCTAAGCTTGTGTCAACTTCAAGCACACATGAATCTGTGCCATTAATAACAGCAAAAAGGCCGTGGGAATGTAAAAAGTCAAATGTTTTYCTTGTCCCTTGTAAAAATGTATAGAATTTCCTGCCCAAAAATATTTTACTGAACTTGTGAGGATGCACATATAGGTTATTGATCAGGTCCTCAATCCTTCACCCTTCAAATCCTGGTGTGTTCTGCACACCTCCAGAGCCTGGGGATTTGGGGGATGTTAAAGGACTGTGGAAACAGTTCTTGTGGAGAACCTTGGTAAAGTAAAAGGCAAACAAAAAGAAATCCATTGTGGATTATTACACCTATGTGCAATTTAAAGATTTTTAAGTATAGCAGTCGTAGAACTCAACATCTCCATCCAAATCCTACCTACATACTTATGACCATATTCTGATCTAATGCCCAATATTTAATAGCTCCATTGACATCAACTGTGCATTTATAAGGAAATAAATTTATTTTTTTATAAAGTAATTAACTTTCAGGCAAGTAAAGAAAGTAAATAAATTGTCTCACTGAAGGGAAACAGAGACAGCACAATAAGTAAAATTGCTCAGACTCRTGTAAGAATTCATGATTTCAAACTCATGTTACTTTTGTACCCACTAGTTAAAATTTAGGTCTATCTGAGTACTGAAGACAAAAGAATTCTCTGACAGAAAATGAGTATTACTGAAATTTCCAGCTACTTATGTTTCATAACAACTCTAAGTGTGGAAAAAAAATGAGGGCCTAATCCACATCTGGTGATGCCAGCAGAAAAAAAATGCAGAACCTGTGGAATCATAGCTGTGTGGTATGAAACTATTTAATACAGTACTTTGATAGAAAAAATAATAGCTTTAAAGTTCTATTGACATTAATATACAGCTATACACCTAAGTTATCCAAACACGTGCAGRGCTGCAAAAACATTCAAAGAGAATTTGTATCAAAAGCAAAAATTTTCTTTAAGAAAAGGGATTTAGCCATCTGTACAAAGTAATGTTCTTTTGCTTCAATTTGCTCTTTCTTTAACTTTCATTTTAKAAGTTAAATTTAAAAATTAGTCAACACACTGAATTAAGTATGTAGATTTTCATTTAAATAAATCAGTCAACAATTTTTTTTATAAAGTATTTAACACTTCATTGTAGAAACATAGGCAAAATGACTATTATAACCAAAATGAAAAATACTGTTCAATTTAAAAAAATGTACTTAAACAAGAACCTGAAAAAGTTTATGATATGCATAACATCGTTCAAGCAAAATTGCACTAGTATTACATAAATCAAGAGTTTTATAAAGGCCCCAATATGGCAAAGTTTAGAAATAGGTAGTATGCATGCACAATAGTACAACAAAAATCTCTTATAAAACAGCAGTTATTTTTGTAATGCTTGTACAAAGGGAATAAAGAGCAACCACAAACATATTTAATCTGTTAGGTTAATATATTATGATAGCTAAAAGTCAGTCATGTCTAGCAGAGGAAGGAAGGGTCCTCTGCAGTATATGTGTGAATACATCTTTTGTGCCTTTAAAGTTATGTATAAAATATTTTGATTCAGTTCAAACCTGAAAGTAATTGCATTCTTTATTTCCATCAAAATTAAAAAAGTTGATTCGGATTTTGCTTCTTTGCAACAACAGAAAACAGACCAGGTCRGAGAAGTGCTGGAAACTGATACTGATGCTTTTCACTTTTGATACTTGGACTTYGACATTTAACCCAGACTACAGAAACGTGGGCTTTGCTAAGGTTTCACTAATATGCAGTTAGGCTCGTTTTACCTCCACAATATCACAGTTTATCTTAATTTAAAGAAACTGCTGTGTTTTGAACCCTTTAATGTCACTAAACAGGTGCGAGGGTTTTCTCGTGATTGTCAAAACCGAATGYTGTGATCATCTGAGTGTGCTTAAGGTTTGGGGTCTGGCTTCTTCCCTACTGCTYGGGGAGTTATTAATCCATACATACTGATTGTGATTAAGTGAATAAACATGTAAAGCATGTGTAGGCAATGCCCTCTTGTGCTCTAGGGTGGCTACTGTCCTACAGGACTGTTGGAGTTCGTATGCTTTTGTCCCACAGCAAGTAAGGTTTCCGCTTCCAAGATATATCGTTACTATGTTCTATAAGGTTTTAATAAATACAAAGCTTGTTTACATGGTATATATGTTTAGTATATCATGTACAGTCACTGAATTTCTGAAACATAATCATTGTGTTCATGCAGATCATTAGATGTTTCACTTCTATAGTCTCGTTTACTTCTTGGCAACCTAAAGCTAATTTAAAAGCAAGTTATGCTTGTTTGTGAAAAGTTATCTAGCTTCATCAGGATCTGAAGAGAAGTTCTAATGGGCACAAAGAAGAGAGTAGACCATTCAATCATTCTTTCACCATTTAAAATAAACAAAATTACACACTGTACTACAGCTTCCAGACTACATAATGAAAAAGTGCAGATACCATCTTCATCGATTAAGTAGAACCAAAAAAGTTCATAGAAAATAGATTGCTCATTTTCACGCTACAAACGAATATGTTGTTTGCCATTTTAACAAATTTAAAGGTGTGTTATTTCAGCAGCATTGTTGTAAATTTTACCGTAGTGCAGTTTCTTTTTCATAAAAATACCTTACAAATGGTCAGTCAAAAGTCATCAGCAAAAGAAAAACCCAGAAAACAATCAACCAAACAAAAAACAGAGGTAATGCTGATGCCAAAACAATTATAATACTGTTGGTACATAGAAAAGTAATCCTTATATTTTATACATTTATACAGAGTATAAAAGGTAACAGCAGATTATGCCACAGTCTCCCTTATCCCAATATCTATTTTCTTTGGAAGAAGTTCTCTTCTTTCATCGACGCTTGCTAAGGAGTTTCGACAGTTTTGTCCATCCACGTATAACTTTGCATATACTGGATTGGCGTAATTCGTTGGCTGCAGAGAAACAAGGCAAATGTTAGATTGCTCATGTTGAATAAAAATCAGCATTTATGGAAATGGAAATGATTTTGTTAAAGCAAGAACAAGTACACACAAAATATAASAGGACGTATTTAATAGATACCTGGACGTCTGCAAACCTGATGATGAGTTAATTACTTAGTTGAAAATTAAATTCAYGATGAGACATGCTATTAAAGTAACCAATGGCATGACATGCAGCATATTATGATATTAAAACCATATAAACAATGACGAAAATTAAACGAAAAACCTGGAAAAAATGTCTCTGAGGTTGACTTGTCCACCTTATTACACTGGAAGATTTCAGAATAGATATGAAGGAGTTTATAGAGAAGGTGCACTGTGAGACCATGTGACAAGTTTAACAGTAGAAAACTGCAGCCAACAGTTTCCATATATTACCTGTTCTAAGACATCAGCATCCCATCAATAGCTGACCATGTTTTCGAATTCTGTGGCCCAAATACACAACATGATTTGACCAAAAAAAATTCAATACTTTTGTAATGTAAATTAAACTTTAATAATAAACCAGCATAACTGTCAATATATCATAGTAGTTACAAATTGAGAAGTCTTATCTCAACAATTTTGRTAGTTTGGACTGTAATGAAAAACATTGTTGAAATAAGTGGCACTTCAGTACACGACAAGTCCATTTTTGATGCTGCAAAGCACTTAGTTCTGTGAGAAATCCCCTGAGTCTCCACTACTTCCTTTATACTTCGTGCCTTTATTGTCTCTGGAAGATCTTTGCTATCCAATTAAAGTTCAGCTTTTACCCATAATAACAGGAAAGGGCACCTTGTGGTCAAAATCCTCCTCTTTCTTATAACTAATTTATCAGCACTGCTCTGCTTACACTGAGTGAAACACCAGCAAGCTCTAAAAAAGGAGAATTAATTTGTTTGGTCTGATTTGAATTACCCAAACCAGAATCGGTTAAGTTTTCTTGACTTGAAAATAAGTATTGTGAGTACACCCTGGGAAACAAGGAATGAAGGATGATTGTAGTTTTAGTTCTTCCTTGCCCTGTTGATCAACACTCTTTCTTAGCCCAGGATTCAGCTATTCCTCAGGCTGGAGAGCTACAGCAGCTACTCATTTAGTGAGTTAAAAGCTGCCCATTCCATCTATTATAGATGGCAAAGTGGGCCACACTTTCCTGGAATGCAGGCAGAACAAGGTGAGACACATTTATTTAATTTAATATAAAAAATTAGCATTAAAGGGAAAAAAAAAAAAGGAGAAATGCTACTCTCAGTTCCACCTATCTATCCCCACTGGAGATCTTTACATTTCTGGTCATGATGCTAACTGGAAATTTAGGAATAMACAAATTTAATTCTGTTTCAATGGTCAGGACTTTTTTATTTCATTGACAACCATTGGTAAGAATGATAACCACAACAGACCCCTGGCATCTATGGAGTGCCTTCTGGAGTTATTAAAATTATATATAATGGCAGGTTCTGCCTCGTGATACCTCTTKGAGTGGTACTGATTGCACAAGGCAGTACAGAAAGAAGCTGGAGTCACCAGAATTTAGGAGAAAAATTTAAAGATGGGCAAATATTCTGGCTTTCATCAACCATGGTTCTGTGCTCCATCAGAAAAATCCCACCCCATAACAACTGATAAACTTCCAAATACAACATATTACAATCATGCAAGAACGTGAATGGCACAAAAGATGAATTTATATTKAGGCACATGAAAATGAATGTCATATTGATGTCCCTTTTGTGTTTTAAACAGTGTTTGCAAACATCATACTAAATTGCAGTAAAAAATCTGATGTTTTAGTAGAAACTGTTTTCTGATACAAAACCATTGAAATCTGAACAATTTTAAAATATGCTTTGAAAATTATAAAGGAAATTGTTAATTTTTATGTGCATGAAATTCCCCTAAAGTAAAAGCACTTGTTTCCATTATTTGGGACTATTTTTCAGTTTTATAAACTTCATTAAATGCCTTTAATTACATACAAATTGTAATTGTGTCAGAATACATGACTGTGAATGCCATGCTAAACTTATATAATGTTATGGAAAAGCATCACATTCCTTACTGTTTTTAAAATTCCTTTGCAAAGACACATTTTTCAGTTTTAGATCATGGCACAATGATGGGTACAGATGAAATTTTGTATGCAGAGGGGGACCCTTTATTTCAAATAGAAAATGTATATCTACTGTCATTCTTCTTTCCATTAAAAGAAGAAAAACAAAATTAAAAAGAAACAGAAAATGCCTCTACTCAAAAATGACAGACAAACTTTCTTTACAAAGGGGCTGTGGTGGAATGAAATGGACTCGGATCATCAATTCTCACCCCTGTTGATAGTGGTCCTTTCAAGTCAGAGTTTAGGTAGATTGATGGAGCTGTGTGGGGAAGCTTGAAAGCAGTGGACCCTCCCCCTATGTATCTGGCCTGTATAAACAGAAAATTTTAGTTTCTGTGCTGATAGAGCATTTCCATGTGTACTTAACAACACTTGTAAGTTAACAGTGCACCAACTAAAAACATTATCTTAGAGTGATCTACATTTATAAAAATCTTCTTCCAGGTATTCCTCAGCACAAAAAAATTCTTACACTCAACATGAGAACAAAATTCAGCATTTTACAACCATTTTCCACTCAGGATTTGAGCCAGGCTTCACAATAAGCATTGGCTCAGCCACTCTGCCTCCAGTGAGTAACTCCGTTTTCAGCTCAGTTCATATATATTGATACACTTTTTTGTCCTTCAGACAAGAGGCTGGACAATAACAGGTTTCCAATTGTCAATATTTGCCAGTAAGCTAAAAACACAGGTTGTGGCTTGGCAACTTAGGGCAGATGTGTCTATGACAAAAAAAAAGAACTCCCAATCATTTTGTAGCTCATTTCTAACTCTATTTTGATAAAATACAGGCACTAGGAAAAATGACCATCAGCCAGCATCAGCCTACAAAACAGCTGTTAATATATACATGRCATTTATTCTAATGCAATCTAACTTGGTTTTATATTCATTAACTAAACCGAAATGTCATTGTKCAACACTTYCACTCATTACATTYAAAGACAAAACCTTTGTAAGACATMAAATAAGTTGYRGYTTTGCCACTAGAAAGAGARAAKAAATTACCTTTTCTGCATTTAGAGTAAAATCTGGGGCTAAGAGACCACCTTCACTGTGGTCRTGGCCCACCTCATACATGTTATATGATGGATTGCCGATTTCTACATTGATTCCTCCATTTATCATGGGTTGTCTTCTGATAGTTTTTGTCCTGCAATGCACAAACATACAAAAAAAAAAGCTAGTGAGCTTTCAAGTAAATCGTTGGATATTTGTTTTCTCTTTAATCTCTAAGACCAACAGGATGAAAAAGCATTTCCTGCAGAGACAATCATGAAATCCTTCCATTTTCCAAGCAAAGTAGCAATCTGAGTCTCTGTATGGATCTCACAGAAGCTGGAAGCAGAATTTTATTGTTTTTCCCAGTTTGGCTGTAGAGTTATGAATCCATACAAAGTGCTAGCTTGCTCTCTAYAACCCTGACTTCCTGCAATTATTTCCAGATTTCCCACACTTCCAAGGAAAAGCTTTACAAACTCATCACAGATTCCCTGCAGGAATGAAGATGGAGCGAACCTGAGTCATGTCCCCCTGCTCCTTCATTTCACTTCTATTTCAAACCAGTTGCCCAAAGTCAGTTGTAAACTGAGGACAAGCAAATKGTTTCATCACAGTGCATCAAAAATGTATGAACTCCTCGTAGTTCCAGTTTGTATTCCCTGCCAGTGGTTATTGGAACACTGAAGTTCAACTTGAATTTTTTTTTTTTCAAGCTTTTATAATGAAAGACAGAGCCTTATTTTTAACCTTGAATTAGGTATCAGTAAAGGTAAGTGATTGAGTTGGATTGTTTCTGTTGCTGAATTCATTTCTTTCAGCTAAGGAGGTGATTTCAGCCCGAGCAATTGAAATAACCTCAAGAGGGTAATTTTTTCCCAATGCARTATGTTCTCTAGAATTACAAGGGAGGAATAGGGAGGTCACAGTCARGATGATAGCAGTCGAGTCCTCTTGYTGGCTGGGTAAGATGCAGTCAGTGGCTGAAATCCAATATATTAAATGATCTGTATTTTTCAGAAATGCCATTGAAAAAATATTTCCTAAAATAGGCACTTAACAGTAGCATGCAAGTATTGAACAACTACACCTGGTTTAATACTTGACAGTCTTCTCTGAAGGGAGAAAATAACTCTGAAATACATTTTCAAATATAATTTGAAGAAGAAAGTCCTTTATTGAGGCTAGTTCTATTTCCCTACTGAAAATCTATTATTTAACAAGTGATTCTCAGTAACCTAAATAATTTACAGAGCAGCAACTGGTTGTCAGGATTTGGCTATCACTAAACTTGGTGTTTTAGGTACAGCAGCCCATAATGACATCCGTGGAGCCTGGCAGGGTCAGCATTACTAACAGCACGGTCAGGAAATGTATTTATCTTGTTGGCTTTACAAAAAGGTTTTAAAAATTGATGCTCACTGGTTTACACCAGACTTTGCAGCAGAGATGTTGTGTGTGATGCCAGMTCTCAGCAACTTGAAAGATTCTTTTAGCCTGGAGCATTGAAATAGTCTCATAAATGGCCACGTTTGCAGAAACAGCAGAATCATCACATATTTCTGAAGGGCTTAACAAAAAGGCATTATGCTGGKCTCAGATGTGGGGTAACAAGCCCCAGGAGAAAGGCAGACAGCTGCTCAAGGCCAGCGAGCAGGACAGCTACGAGCCTCAAGTAAATGGTTTGTTGGCTGATTCCCACTCTGGGCCTTCCCTGGGGAGCCATGTCCTTACTACCAGGAATCTTCCCTTGTTAAATCTGCATCACCATCAACATTTTGTTCTTTTCTCCGAGCATGGGAAGGGTAGAAGCTCTCTCAAGTGTCTCATCCAGCARAAACTCTCCTGCCTGCCCCGGCCACCAAACACGGCCTCGGAAGAAAAGCCCAAAGTCAAAAAGTCAAATATGAGTTCTCAAGTTCATTACTGGCTCTAAGGCAGCCAAATTCAAGAGAACAAAATATTCCCTGTTCAGTGCTAGAATTTGGCTTCCTGTGCAAGATGCTAAAGGAACACASTAATGAGGAAAAGGCTTGTGACTGTACAGTAAATATTTTTAGTATTGTTTACATCTTYACTATCATTCRAAGATGTAAACAATATGAAAAATTGGAGTATGTGGTTTCAATRAAATACATTAATTCTGTTCATTAAGTTCTCCAAGTCTYTGGATAAAGTTATTCACACTCACACAGCCTTGGCAGGACTGAGCAAAGTGAGTAAGAACTACAATATTTTAATCTATTTAATGTGGAACATAAATATCAATAATAGATGTGGTTGTTCCAGCAAGAACCAAAATGTTTCACTGAATTTGCTTCCACCAGAAACAAGTTTTGGGTCATTTGTTGTGTTTTAATTTTTCATATAAAGAGATTTTTTTGTATATGGGAAAGATGCAAATACTTTAAAGATTTTAAAGATTTAGTTATTTAAAGATTAATTTTATTGTTTATTATTTATAGATTTAAATATTTTAAAGATTTTTTTTTTTTACTTCATAAATCAATACAAAATGACCTACCTTCGTTTTCTTTTGCAAAGAAATAGTCCAATTACCAGAGTAGTGATCAAAGTCACCAGCAGAACGAGGGGAACAATGATTGCTATACTTCCTAAAACAGGACAAAGAAATATCACTGAATAATCATGGCTTCACAGTAAAACAGTTAAATTAATTAAAAAAGAATAATTGCCCATACCAACAAAAGCAATTTCACGTGATGAACTTCACTCATCAATTTGAGATTTTAATGCTGATCAATAAAAACCCCAAGTCCATTACAGACAACAGTGTACACACAAGTAATTTTATAAACAAATCAGGAGTTTCCTTTTTCTGGAGACCAATATACTTTGGACTAATTCCCTGCCCTCATTTGCAGCAATAGTCTAATGAATGAAATGTATGAAATTGCTGGAAAATTTGAGCTCGAGTGGCACAGCCACTCACTGCCACCAGGACCTTCAGCAGTTTGGGTCATGCAATTATTAATTTAAAATATTCACTAGGCTTGCTCTGGTTGAAGAATTAATTTGTATTTATATGTATCTGTTCTCTTTATTTGTGGGGCGATAAAAAGCAATGAGCAATCTTCATTTCTCAGTGGCTGGTGCATTCCTGCATTTTGCTGCATTTTACTGCATTGTACTCGAGAGCCAACAATTTTGTTATGTTGATATAAGCAATCACAAAAACTACAATAATGCTTAATGCAGCAGAAAAASGGTGTACAGATCAGACAGCAAAGTTAAAGGACAGGAGGGAACAGGGAAGAAGAAAATGGGTTTCGCATTATTTTGGCAGATAATTTCACTGAAATGAGGCTATCTGCAAAAATAAGGTCAGCAACTGCACCCTCATTTCTCAGCCTTACTTTAAATACCTGCTCGTAAAGAAATACATGAAACAAATAATTTCATGTTATAAATACAAGACTTATAAAAATAAGACTCCAGTACAAAGGCAGTGTGGAGTGACATGTATTTTCTTTAATATCATAGTCTTTAACCAGTGGAAAACAAAAATATTGCTGGTARTTTCATTGGCTACGTTTATTGATTTATTAAAAAGAAAAAAAAAAAAAGCTGCTGGCAGTGTGTGCTCTACTTTAAACACAGTCTAAATAAAGAATTGAAAGTGCTTTGAATTCTGCCTGAAGGCTTATTGAAAGCCAAGTCAGGTTGTCAGAGACACGAAATGAAGCACTGAAAAAAAAACTTGAAGCATCTTGAGTTCACTTCAGCTTATGAAGATTTGGGCATGTAAAGGATATTATAACAAGGCTCATTTAAGAAAACATTTGATAAATAACTGGATTAAGTCCTACTTAGGACAAAAAAAAAAAAAAAAAAAAGGTTGATTTTGTCTAGGCATGTAAAATTTAGAAAAAAAAACCCTGAATTGCCATTTGGTAGCCATGGTGCAGCCTGGGGTGCAGGAAAAGCCCCAAACACCCATTTCCCACATCCTAGTGTTATTCCCTCAAAACAAAGCAGTGATCCAGGTTTTGCCTGCTTTTTCACCTATTTCCAGCTTGAGAATRTTCTTTCCCTTGTGTGGATCACTGTGAAGATTTCATCCCAGCACCAAGCTGACCTGAATAGTGGGCAGCTCATTTTGCTGCTCCACTTGGGCTAAATGTGACCAAGGCAGGTAGAGCAGGGCACACTCAACCCTCTGCAGGGAGCCCTGTCCACTTTAAGCTGCCAATAGTGCAGCAATGCCATCCTTTTATGCTTACAGACATGTTTAAAAAAAAATTCCACAGGAGCTATTCTTACTTTCAGGACGATTTTCACAGTAGGTAAAATTCAGCCCTCTGCAGATGGCCAATACCAAAGTTATGCACTACTTAGAGCTCTATTTTTGCTGCTTTCAGTTGGATTTAAATGGTCAGAGGTCTGGTACGAGTTCTCTGCACAGGGCTGATATGCCCAAATGCACTTGATTCACTCTCCTTAGGAAAAGTGCAGCAAGCCCTTGGAACAGGGAGTGTATGGCAGGAGAACTGCATCCAAACCACCAAGCAGCAATGAAAAARTTGTGAAATATCTAAATTTGGGGATTTTTAAAGCAAAAGATACAGGTAATGAGCATTTTTCACAACACAAACACATTCTAAAATATCACAAGGCTTGCATTTCCAGACTGAGGCAGATTTGACGAGTGATAGCAGSTATTTGAAGTACTCACTTGTGCTGATGTTGTCAGACTTGCTGCTTTTGGGAGCTGGCCTCTCACACTGCGTGCCTGACCAGTTGGCTGAGCATCTGAAAGGACCCAATTAAGATGGGAAAGTTAATAAATGTCAGCTATTAACACAACAACCCATGAAAGAGACCACCAGCATCTTCTTAAGAGCTACAAAATTACAACAGTGATTCCAAAAACCAACAAGAAGCCTCATGGAAGGAGCCAGCAGGACTTTGCCAAGGCACTGACAGCATCCAGAGTAGGGTTTTGGTTTAAAACTACACCTTTGTATATTTGATTCCTGTTATTATCACTGYAACCCTCATTCCAGAGGCCTTTTCTAAATTCTTGAATAATGAAACAAGTTTAAGCAAAGGTATTATTAACATTTAATCTTTTYTTTTATATTGAACTTTATAAACAGATATTTATTTGCAGAAATACATCCGCATGTGTGTGTGTAAGCAGGCATGAGAGTTAAAGAATAAAGAGTTKTCCTAGAGGGAGGAAAGCTTCTCCTGGCTTCAGAGAGCCCTAAATACTGTTTATATTMAGATTATGTGTTCCAGGGGCCAGGTGCCTGGATTTTCCACAGCAATTCTGCTATAATTTCCTAGTGTGAATATCAATATGCAAATATGCCTTCAGCTGGGATTCAGAACACTCTCCATGCACACAAGGAGTCCAAGGAAGCAGACTCGGCAAATCCATCAAAAACGGAAACAAACACCTGAATGAAATTCAATTGCTTATTCAACCTGCTGTAAATATGATTAAGTTTACTACAGAGCCTCAAACTCTCCTTGTGCAAACGGCAGGAAGTAGTCACTTTTCATCTGTCTCTGTTGCACATTGTGCAATGAATCATGTTTTTTTTCCTAAGTATTTTTGAATTATTTATGAATTCCAACATGAGTTATCTTTAGGGAGGTGCAACAAAGCGTTACCCTCACACAGTTCCAAGAACTGCTGCTATCTGATGCCTTCCTGAGGATTTAACAAATTGCAAAGTTCAGAGGTGGACATGTGTAACAACTGATATTGTTCTATAAAAAACAGGAGTTTTGGAAAGATACAAAATACTGTAAATAGAGAAAAGTGCAGAAGAGCCCTAGGCAGCTTTGCTGGTGATGCTTTGGGCTCTCTTTCGTCTTTGCAGAAGAATGGCTCATTTCTCTCTTTGCTCCTAAACCTATTCCAGCACAACCCAACATTCAGATAATCCTCTTTACTGGGTTTCACATTAAGCTTGAACTTTTTTTTTTAAATTAATTTTGGTTTTGGCATGAAACATTATGAAGGTGCTTAAACTCTACAGAGGGAAGTCATGGATGGTTTMTAAAAGCATTATTGATCTATTTTTATATATTGATTATTGCTAGTTGACTGATAAATTGCCACACACTAGCTAAATTACATTATAATCTAGAAGTTCTTCAAGTTTATTGAAATAAATTTGTTTACTTTTGTAAATATGGCAAATATACACTCAAGTTTCCTCACTGTGAAGAACCCCCAATGACTAATTACACAAATGCTTTGCAATGAAATGTTTTATAACTGAACCCAACTGACTTTTCCACCTGCTTACCACCAGTTCAGCACACTGTAAGTCACAGGGAACACATAACTTTAATCTTTCAAAAGATGCATCTGTTCCTTTTCCTTTCCAGATCCTTTTAGCAATTACATAACACAGAAATGCTTGCACTGTCACCTTACCTTACTAAGTTACTATTCAAGGAACTTGCTTTTTAAAAATATCAATTTTCAGCATGCAGCTGCAAAGTGTCTCCATTCTTGTAGAGAAACATTACATATCTTTATCTTTAAACTTAGAATATTCTACTCAGCTCCAAGCTGTTGGCATCTGACAAACATGAAACAAAGTCTTTATATTTCTGACTGAAATTTTGCATCATTCCTGCTCAGAAATCGGCTCATGAGATTAAAACTACTGATGACAGGCAATTTGCATTTAATACTACACTACTGAAAGGGAAAGATTTATTTTCGAGWTAGATGTATCTAACTTTGCAACTAAATTCTTATATTAAATATTTCAAATGCTTCCACTGTATGTAAGAATCAYTATGATAAATCTGTCCTAAAAACAGTTTAAAGAACACAAGACAGTCAGACTAGCAAAAGAATCACCAGGAAGCATTCAAATASAAGCTCATGAGAAAAATGTGTATTAATGTACAATTACATTCTTCAAAACCTCATAGCAGATATGACACCACAACAGCTGGTGAAATATGCAGTAAACAGAGGGAAAAATTAAGGCAAATATATTAAAAGTTCTTCAACTATCTTGGCATTCTAATTGCAAAAATCAGCAATATTGAGACCTCTGAGACATTTGATAGAAGTCTCATAAAGACATTTTTAGTAGCCACTACATTTTAATTTTTTTTTCAAATGTTTGCTTTCTCCAATAAACTTGAAAGAGACTGAAGCTGGCAGGTTGGGAGTAATTTCCTTCTATATTTTGAGGTGAAATGATTGCCCTTTGATGGTCCAGCAATGCACTACAGATTTGTCTTGGGCAGACAGAGTAGAAAAAGAAATAAAGCTCAGGGGAAAGGTATTTTCTGCAGGGGAATTTGACACAGAAAATCAGCCATGAGCAGGCACATAAATAACCATGGCATTGGGACATGGACAACTGTTCATGCAGGAACATGGGAAACGAGCAGTTTTTAACCAATTTTAATGGTCTTCAGAGAGAAATTGTTCTTAATAACAGCATTTTCTGGTATCGGGACATTTAAATTCAGGCTGCTCTGTTCCTAGCATGGGAACTGAACCAAACCTGGTTCAGTTTGGTGCACAGTTTGTACCTTTCCAAACCTTTTGGTACCAGGAGCTGCTGTTCTGTGCCACTTTCAGGGGCTGCATGATCAGACAAGATATTTGCAATAAACAAAGTGGCATTAACGAAGCAGAACCACAAAAAGCCACTTTGTTTCATCAGAGATATTCATATTATCACAAACACGGGAGAAAGAACAGTGAAAATGCCTGATTTGAGCCACACAGAGACAAATACAGATGGAAACAGATGGGGGAGCTGACAGGGAAGGACAGGCTGGAGTCAGATGTGTGGTGCAAGAGAACACCTCAAGGTGCAAATCTCCAGTTCCCAGCAGAACCCATGAGAGATCAAAGAGCAGCAGCATCACAGGGGATGCCAATATGAAAACTGAGAGTGAATGTAATAAATAAAGTTCGTGCAACATTCTGCTGCCAAGGTCATTAATAAAACTGCTGCAGCTCTCTCTGCTGCAATTTAGTTCTACGTTTATAACAAGATGAGTGCTTGGGAAATGCCTTCTGAGCTACAGAATGCCTGTGCCACTGGAATTACCTATTTGGAGGAAACAGCATTGCAAAGAGAGATGTTTTTAAAAACTTTCAACTGAGATTATAAAGGTGTTCCACTTGTGAGAGGAATAAACAGAACATATTTACATTTGTGAGACTGATCATGCTGTTGTTACAGGATCTATTCATGAGAGAAAATGCCACTATTTCTGTATAACCCTTACAGGTCATTGTGCTCGAACATTCTAAACTCAGTTATACAGGCACTTGACCATTTGACTATGAAATGTCTGAATAAATAGAAAAAGGTAGTTTAAAAAGGCTAATTTGGTGTCAGTGTGCAATTCACAAAAAAAAAAAAAAGTTTCTCTTTTTTTATCCCCTCTTTGTGCCACAGGCATTGTCAGAAAAATATAATACAGCAGGGATAATATGAAGTTAAAAGAGCTTTTGTAGACAACTGCTTTCCAATTCAGTACACCAGTGCATATCCAAAAATGACAGCAGCATTGAAAGATTAGTCTAGAAGTATAACACAATTTGTGGTACATTCCTTACAAAACAGAGGTGGAAGGGGAATTGAAAATTTTTCTTAGCTATAAATGATATTTCTTCATTATGCCAAGTAATTTTCTGACTTTGCTTTTCCCTTTYAGYCATGACASAGCAATAKGTACTAAAAYATCCTAATGARARTATCCAGCCTCACTATATTTGGAGYACTGACATTAAAATTTYACTRGAACTTGTCTTATCATTGRTATTAAAAYTGYTTTTAAGACAAGAGAAMATCTGGATTAGATAGTTATTTACRATCTATATTAAATTRCATTRAAAGAGAGAAAKCAAAATCCTTTTTTTCYCCAAAACTTGGTAGGATGTTACRGGATGAAAAAAGTCTTGCATTAAATCAAATCATGAAACTATTCCTTATAATAAATTTAGGAATACTTCTATAGATATGCTTTGTTCATCCAGAGAGCCAATATAATGGAGTTAAACCTGCTCATAAAAAGTAAAGAACTTTCATAACAAAGAGAGAGCAAAAATCCCACCCCAGGACTGATCAAAAATTGCACATTCTGTACTACCCTCATATTATAGGGTTTAATTATTTTCAAGTAATAACTTTTCCATGATTATTTTATACATGAATAAGCCACATTTTAGTAGCTTTGTCTAATGAGCGTTGCTTGACATCATAAAAGGAAAATAATGTAGAAGTTAAGGGACAGAAAATTTATCCTTGTTTCCTGAAAATGAAATACAAATTACCGTGCAAATCCACTATATTCAAAATAGGATAATTACATCATCCTAAAGCAGGCAAACCAGYAAAAAATTACTTCTGAGGAACACCAAAAACCACCTTAAATATAATCACAATATATATGAAAAAAAAGGACTTTAAAAATGAATTTTAATTTGTGCATGACATGTACAAGTCTGTACAAGTCATCATTCAGAGTTGCTGTGTGATCTTCACTGCAAAGGAAGAACTTTCAAGAGCAACTCAGCCTCATCCATCCCAAAGTAGGAAAAGAAGAAACTGAGGGTCATTAAACATCATGCTATTAGCAATATGTGCACAGTACAGAGGCCATACAAGTATTAAAAAAAAAATACAGCAAATATATATAAAACATATCTAGGTGAGTAATGTTGTAGCTGAAATTACACTGAGCAATAAAACAAAAGAKATTGAAATGGTAAAACAGAAAAGGAATGAGAAAGGATTGGGTAAGCA